CTATATGGGAATATCATTTTCAGGTACAGGTAGCATGCCACCTCCAAGGACATAGCTTGGGAGGCTAGAGGCGGACATACTTTTGTCGTTTTACTTTTTGATGTATTACATGTAAATTCAGGCCAAGGGCTTAATGTGTATGAGTTAGCACTCTTTTGTTGTAACCAAGTGTTAACTTGGAAAGCTGTAAGCCTTTAGGGCATTTGCTTTTGTCGTTAACATGTAATACTTTTTTGGAAATGGAACTCTGATGAATAGAAGAATGTGGAGCTTTTATATATCAATGCATATCTATATTGATGGGTTTAATGTTATTATTTTGAGGGCGTTACAAGTTTCAAGTGATCATAAATCATCACCTTTGATCAAATAAATTGTGGGGATTTTCACAACAAAGCTGAGGAAACAATTAGGGGACAATAACAAAAAAGAAATTCAAGATTCGACTCTTATAATAAAATAACTTTCGAGTTTTCAATTCTGTTAAATTAAACCTTAATTGTTTAATTTGTTTTCAATTTAAATCATTAGTCTATTATTGTTAACTAAAACCGATGGGAAAATAGTATTTTAGTCATTAATCTCAATGTAAACATACATAAAATGTCTAAAATACCCATTTTCATTAAGTTTAATGACTAAAACATCTATTTTTCCGTTGATTTTACTTAACGAATATAGTCAAATGGTTTAAATTGAAAACAAATTAAAATTTTAAGATTTAAATTGATATAATTGAAATTTCAGGATTTATTTTGTTACAAAGATCAAACCTTGAGGGGTTTTTTTTTTTCTTTTTTGTAATTTTCCCAAACAAATTCAAGGGAAATTCTATTTTCACGCCAGTAATTTTCTTAGTATCACCATCATCTTAATTTTTTTTATTACATCATTATCCCTCAATCAAGTTACTCTTTTGTCTTTCAAATATATCTCCATTTCTCAACACATATATCTCCTTCACAGCCACCTACTATCACCATTAGTCTCTGCCACCATCGTTGCCGACGACCTCCTCCCTAACTTCCCATTCTCACGACAACCCAGCTGCCCACCCACCGGCGACTCTCCCACCACTTTCTGACAACCCTCCGTCGCAACCCAACTTTACAAGAGAAATAGATTGAGATCTAGGGTTTGAGCAACCGAAAAAGAAGATGGCTACAAAAAGAGTTACGGGAGGTGTCGAGGTAAGGGAAATGGGGAACAAGGCTAGTTGCAGAAGGTAGGAAAGGGAGGAGGATGATGTACGACAGCGGGAGGGGTAGACGACGGAGCTGGGAGAAGAGCGATAAGGCTGAGGAAGAGAGGTGGCTGCGGTAATGAGGGCTAGGAAAGGATGATGAGGTGGTTAATGGCACTGGTAGAAGGGTCAAGCAGTCGTGGAGAGGGCAATGACCGGAGGAAAGGGAGTGCCAGCTAGCTGCAGGCGACAGCTGGCCAACGGTGGCAGTGATTACGGTTAGGGTTTTGTTGGAGAAGAGGGAGGGTAGTGTGGTATTATTTGAAAAATTGTGGCGTGTATTGAGACAAAATCAAAGCTTTTAATTTGAGTGTGATGTGAACTAAACAAAAAGAGAGATAGTGGTATGAACTGAGATAATTGGTGGTGTGTAAATAGAATTACCCTTATTCAAGAAAATATTATTATTATGGGACTAGATTGGACAATCCGGCCCAATGGGCCGATTTTTGGGCCCTACTTCCATGATCCGAACCATTCACATGTTAGGGTTACTCTACGAGAAACTTTTCTTTAGATATAGTTATAGTACACTAAAACTATTTATTATGGTAAGTGGTCGCCACCTTTTCGTCAACGATCACCGTCTCCAAGAATGGCATAGTTGCCTTGTGGGGATAGGTACAAAGGAGGAAGATAGGAGCGAGCCATAAGTTGCAAGTTCATTGTTCTGGAGCGATGAGACTTACGAGAAGCTTAGCATTTCAGCCGATGCGTCGATGATCACCAAATGGACTGAAGAGGTCAAATACATGATCCCTACAAAAAATTAATTCAATCGGATAACGGAAACCACGTGTTTGAATCAATTTTGTATGGACCGTTTATTTTCTTACCGTCTATTTTTTTATACAAAACTGATCTGAACACGTGGTTTCCTTTGTCCGATCAATTTGATTTTTTGCAAAGATAATATACTCGACGAATCCTAAAATGTAAAAGGTTCGAATCAAACGGGACCCAAAAACCAAACCCAATGGGTCCAACAACACTTCTCTAGTCCGATTTAGGACCGGAGAGAAGTCAGTCCCTATTATTATTATTATTCAAGATTTTGTTATTGTTAGTTGTGGAACTTTTATAATCACATTTTATTACGATAGGTGTTGCTTCTCTATATTTCATTGTTTTTTCCTTTGGTAGTTATTGTTCCAAATATAAATGAGGACTGAAAATACATCATGCCTGCATGCATGGGAAGCCTTCAAATGATGGAGGAGATTGAATAGTAATTAGTATAGCATGCGTGTGTGTGTTTAAGACATCACATAATGGAAGATTTAGATAGATACATACGATGATGACAAAATCAAGATATGGTCTATTAACGAAGGGCATGTTACAATGTGGGGAATACTCTATATATAACCATGATCCTTTCTGCTCTTTTATCACAATAATTTCCATGTTTCCAGCCTCGTTTTTCTCTCTGGTAAGACTAATTACCTTCTTACTCGTTACTTTTCATTTTTTATGAGTATTCTGCTTTGGGAAATGAATTAAGACAATATATATATATATATATATTTAAGTGATTTGGTGTGAATCCCTTTAGGTGCATACCATATGTACCTTATCATAAAATGTGGAATTTTATTATAAAATTTCGTAATATCAATCACAAAATGCATAATCTCATCACAAATTGACGTAACAAAAAAAGTTGTAACCAAGCCACAAATTTTTGCAACATCAATCACAAATTTTTGGACATTTTGTTACGCCAATTTATGACTATATTATGCATTTTGTAATTGATATTACACATTTTTGGGGATAGGATCCATAGAATTTTCCATATATTTATCATAGTCATAAATTTTATCTTTAGATATCATTATATCAGTTTGCACGGTGGTTGTTTTTGTTTTTTTTTTTTTTTTTTTTTTTTTTTTTTTTTTTTTTTCTTTTTCATTTTTGTGTATTTTGAAATTTTTTTTTTTAAAAAAATAATAAAAAAAATTTTAAAAAAATCCACGCTTTCATATCATTTTAATTTCTATACGAAAACAATTTTTGGAAAATTCAATTTTTACTAAAATGACAAAAATTCATATCGTTCTAATGAAAAGTTTAATTTTTCATGTTTTCTAAAAGGTGACTTGCTTTCAAGATTTTTTCCAAAAATTTGTTTCCAGGAACAATTTGCTAAACAAGTTCTATTGTCTGAAAAATAAAAATAGGAATGAAAAAACAAAAAAACAACCAAACAGAACTTAAATATCTGTACTCATTTTGTTGATAGGGGCCTATTTATGCACATTAAATACATAATATGGTATATATATATATACTACTTACCCAAAAAAAAAATATGGTATATACATATGAAAAATGTTTGGTAACCCGAATTTGACTGGTCCAAATGGCTCGAATGTGTCAAAACAACGTCGTTTTACACCCAAAACGACGTCGTTTTGAGATATTCGAGACATGAAAATTCGGGTCACCTAACATTGTTGTATACATATACATGCATCAAAATTCAATCACATTTTACCCCGTGTAGATTGCCAGTACAAATGTACATCAATCAGCATCATACAAATGAATTTGTTCAACTTTTTGGTGCAGACAAAAAAAGCAAAAGAAAACCCTCGTACTTCCCCAACTTCAAGTCAATTTCTACGTGTTGATGGATAAGATGATCTCTTCATATTGGCTCTCATTTGTTCTCTCAATCATAGTAGCTTTTCATAGCCAAATAAGAATCACAGAATCATCATTTGCCAATGACACTGGCATAGGTGTTTGCTATGGGATGATGGGGGATAGTCTACCTTCCCCAGATGACGTGGTTTCTCTTTACAAAAAAAAAAAATGGTATCAACTCAATGAGGCTCTTCGATCCTAATCCATCGGCACTCCAAGCACTAATCGGGAGCCAAATCCATGTCTCATTAGGCGTACGCAACCAGTATATACCAAGTATAGCATTGAGCCAAGACGCTGCCAAGTCATGGTTTGCAACTAACTTGGAACCTTACCTCAACGACATTGTATTTTCATATATTACTGTTGGTAATGAAGCTATCCCGGGGGACTATGCTAGTAACATTGCATCTGCAATGCAAAATCTTCAAAACATCCTCAATGCTGGAAATCTAGCTAGTACTACTAAGGTGACCACCGTGGTGTCTACAGGAATCTTAGGAACTTCTTACCCACCTTCTAGCAGTGCATTCTCACTTGAGGCACATGATGATCTCATTAAGATTCTGGGATTTTAATCAGCACAAGGATCGCCACTTATGGTCAATGTGTATCCCTACTTTGCCTATGCTGCAGAACCAGCAAAAGTGCGCTTAAATTATGCACAATTTACTGCCAAGGGACCAGTAGTTCTGGATGGGAACTTGAGATATCAGAACATGTTTGTAGATGCTTGTTGCTAGGCAATGGAGAGAGAGGGCGTGACCGATGTGGGCGTGGTTGTGTCTGAGACCGGTTGGCCTTCTGCTGGGATGGCGATTTCACCACCCCAGAGCTAGCAGCCACTTATAACAGAAACCTCATGGAACATGCTGCCAAAAATGGGACTCCAAAAAGGCCTCTGGCTCGCATAGAAGGGTATATTTTTTCCATGTTTAACGAAAATCGCAAACCTGATGGCGTTGGGCAACACTGGGGACTCTTCCACCCCACCATGGAACCTGTTTATCCCTTGTTTGCTCCTGTTCGATTAATTTCTAGCAGTGGTATGAATATAATAAATAAAGCAATTGGTAATGAACTCAAATTGAAGTTTGTGCAAGTATTATTAATCGTAATACAAACTTTTATTTTTCTATAAGATTGTCACGAGCAGTACTTGGAGGACATTGCAGTGTCTTAGATCAATGATCACAACCTTCACAAGACCTCTCCAAGTATAAGAACCTAATACATGAATTCAAAAAAAGAAAAAAAGAAAAAGAAGACATCCAGTAAATCTAAAGCTCTAGGTTTCAATTATTATACCAATACACACGCGTGATCATGACAGTGCCATCGCCCCAATTAAAGGCGTGAAAATGGTCCATGGCCCTCGCTTCCTGTGCTCAAGAATGGGTAGTCTGTGTACCCAATAACAGGATCTTGAGTGTAGAAAGTAGCCCTAATGTACCTATTGAGGGGTGCATTGCATTTTAATCTCAAAACTAAGTCTGGGTTTGAGACAAAAAGCCGACCATATGAAACCAAATCAGCATCACCTTGTGCAACAGCTTGGATTCCTAGATCCCGAGTGAACCCACCACTGCAAATGAAAGTTCCCTGATATGCCCCTCTCCAAGTCCTCATTAACTTGGACTCCTCATCTTCACTACCGTGTCTACCTGATTCTGTTTGCCCATAAGCTGTATATCGAGGCTGAGTTACATGGAGATAGGTGAGCCTTGAGCCTAAGACAACCTGGAGCTTGTTGAGTTTGTCAATCACTGCAAGGCCTAGGTTGAGAGGGTCAGAGTCTGTGGCATCGAGGTGATCAATGGCTGGTGAAATCCTGACACCAACACGATCAGCCCCTATGGCTCCAGCAACTGCTTGAACCACCTGCATTATAAATTTGCACCTGTTTGCAAGTGAACCACCATACTCATCCATTCGATCGTTGATTCCATCCTTTAAGAATTGATCGATGAGGTAGCCATGAGCCCCATGGATCTCAATGCCATCAAAACCTGTACATTGCACAAGCATTATGTGCATATTGATAATGTTGAACATGGACCTGGTAGAAGAAAGAAAAAAAACAAAACAAAACGAAGGAGAAGACGAAATATATGGTAACATGGAGAACTTCAAAAAAAGTATATGAAGAAAAGATTTGGGGTGATGGAAATCATTGCTATACTATATTAAACAAGCTAATTACCCATTGGTTACATCCAAGTTCAACCACTAACAATTCCCAGAAAGAACCTCTAGCATATGCCAGTTTAGGCACATAAAATTATAGAATCCCAACCAAACAATGCCTTTAATATCATGAGTAAAATAACTTTATTTTGGGAATTGATCTAAAAGCAGAATCTACTTCAACAGAATTGCCCATAGGCAAAGCCATACATAACATAGAAATCACACTTGGAAATGATGGATGGACAAGAAACTTGGAAAGGATGGATGGACAAGAAACTTGTTACAACACGGGAAATCAGCCGCAATAAATTTACCTTTCGAAGATGTTATTTTCTTAAAAGAAAAATAAAACAGATTATTTTGTTAAGATTTAAAACCTTAATCCACCAAACAAGTAATTAGTCCAAAATTAGGTTGAAAATGTTAGTATTTCCCCCAGATGGGACCAGAGACAAGAATCAACTTCATTTCCTTGCGTCTGCATAAAAGTGGTTCATGATGTTTTCAGTGCTAATGAACAACTAATTTTTTTGTTATACCAACTACCAGGAATAGGACCACTCATAGTCACAGGATGTGTCCATGTTTCTAAAGTGGAGGTATTTTGCAATCTCAATTACATTTCTAAGCAAAGTATAACTGTTTATCTTGTCCTTAAGTCATTCTAGTTTGCATGAATCTTCCAAAATTTTCTAAGAGTTGTAGCTCTATCAAATATTCATTTAATTTTCCTAGTGCAGGTTGGTAAGTTAAGTATTTGTGCAAATCCCTTATCAACCATAGGAAACATTAACTCCATACAATACAGAGAGTTCAAAATATAAGACATGAACAAGCAAGTGAAAGGAGCAACAATTAGAAAAGAGAAAATTGAAAAAATATAATGCTCACAAAAAATCAACTCTTGATGAAATGCGTCGACAAGATGTTTGGAAACAATTTAGAGGAATTGTCTTGTTAATTTTCAATTCATCATTCACAATGTTGTTTTTTAAGTTTTTCAAATTTATATATATAAAAATAAAATTAAAAACTTCTTTAACCAAAAGACAAATACACAAAAAGTATTGATACGAGAGTGATTTATTTTTTGTTTTCTCAGTTTTGATTTTATTTATTTTTGCTGGGAAAATAAAGTTTATTGAAGTAGTTAGTTGAGTTTATTATGAGTTTCGTTTCACATAGTCAAAGACTTTAAAACCCTTGAATAAATCTGGACCAGATCCGAGGCATGAAATGAAACCAAAGCTTGTAATTTTTTGGGTCTAGCGGTGTAATGTCATCACCCTTCAGCCATGATGATTTCATGCACACCTAAAGGAACAACGTGATGCAAGTCTTTAACTCTCTTCACACGGCCTTTTGCATTCCTTACATAGGTTGAGTAGCAAAAATATGTGTGAAAATTAAGACCTAGCCATCTTATATAGTAAATTATCCTTAAGAACCTTACCTTTTTAACGACTCTAACAGATAGTCCTATCACCATAAACTATCTTTATCTTACAACACAACTAAGGTGTAACTAAAGTGCATCATAATTCCAAGTAAAGTCGATCACTAGCCATTATATGACATCACCAGTATGCCTTATTTGACTGAGCAACAACCAATCTGGTTTTTGCATAAAACAAAAATAATTTTCCAACAATCAAGAAAAGTTCTAACAGGTATAACAAAAATGTCTAGTCACAATTCTCCAAATAATTCCAACAAGCAATAGCAAGGAGGTGGCAGACCACCTAACTACATCTATTCCTCTGAGATTGAGCGGTTTCATTTCTTACTTAGGCTCTCGGGTTGCGAGAGATATTTAATTTAGGGCCTCGTTTTTTGTTGGTTTCCAGAATTTATGTTTGTAGCCCCTCAGGGCTTGTATTGAGTTCCTATATATAATCTATCTTCTTGGTAATAAAATGCTCACTATCAAAAAAGAAATGTATGACAAGAACATGAGATTTTCCAAGCACAAGTGGACAAATGCATGTATGTTTCTCAATTTTGAAACATTAATGACAATGGAAGGATCTTCCTTTTCTTTAATTTGAGTTTTAATAGTTTCTCAATTGAGTCAGGTTAACTCAATCTATATATTTTAAATCCTGACTCCAGCTAAAGTATAAGAAGAATTCCCATCATGGTTGCATGACTAGGAACAGTTATATTCATATGCTCCATTATTTTGTCAACATAAGGTGGTATCCTCTGTCAAAATGTAAATTATCCCATGCAATTTTTTATCATCACAAAGTAACTTTTCATATGAAATGCATATAGCCTCAAAAAGCACTAAACTGTCAAAGGTATCCTTAATAAGTGTCTAGTCAAAATAGCTCTTAATCGTGGAAACAACTAACTTAAACTATTTCCCAAATCCAACCTTTTTGATGCATATGCATCAGCTCATTTCTGCTATGAAAATTTAGAATACACAGCTATCTACATATTAGACAAACTAAAATTTGGAAAACACAGAGCACACATCTTTGCTAGTTTGTGTAACGACCAGAAAAAATTTAAACTTCTAATTTTTGAAACTGATTATAATTAAACCCACAAGTTTCCCTATTTATTTTAGTTTAGACTTCCATCAGTTAATTTTCTGCTTGTTCTATTATCTCAGTTTGTGCGTGCCGAATTCGGAGCCGACCCAGGGCCTAAGGGATAGACCCTCCGGGCCCAATAAATGATGTTAATTTGACCACAGGGTTGATCTTGTTAAAATTATAATTTAATTGCTTATTGAGAAAGGCCAGCAATCGTCTCAAGTTGCATACGATTTGGCACAAGATTCGAGAATGGACTCGTCGGGCCCGGTATTAGTTATTAATATGTTAACATAGTGTTATTAATAATTTGAAGACATTCTAAAGAATTGAGAATTCTAATGCACAATTTGTCTCGTTATGCACGCACTCCGATTTGAGATTCAAGAGATGGGCTCTCTAAGCCCAGCAATTATTAATTTTGCGTTATGTATGTGTGTTTTATTTATAATAGTAATCCCTGTGAATTTCATGCAATTAACACTATGTTATTTAATAATTTGGAGACATTCTGGTGAATTGAGAATTCCAATGCACAATTTGTCTTGTTATGCGTGCACGCAGGACCGATCTGATTTGAGATTCAAGAGATGAGCTCTCTGAGTCCAGTAATTATTAATTTTGTGTTATGTATGTGTGTTTTATTTATTGTAGTTATCCCTGCAAATTTCATGCAATTCTAGTACATAAAACGTATAATTTATGTATCCAAACTTCATAGTTTTGAGCTAGGGTTTTGGAGGGAAGTCCAAAACCACAAATAGTGCATTTTACATACATTTTGGCATCCCCTAGGAGGCTTGGTTGAACCTATCTCTTGCAAGCTCATATGTGCTCATCTTTTTCTCCTTTTGGCACCTTTCCTTACACAAACTAGGTACTTACACACTCATGAAATTAAAAAGACCACCTTAATGCTTGTGCAAACTAAGTTACTTTTGTGTAAATGTACTTATATGTGCATAAATGTTTATAACTATATGGAATTCAAAATAAAGGGGTTAGGATTGTTTGTCCTACCTAAGATCAAATCTTGGCCACTGATTTAAGGTTGGATTAAGGTTTAATGAGAGGCTTAATTGGTCTTCACTTGGAAGACATGGGTTACACTTGAAGAGAGAAAAAAAGATGATGTAACTAGATTAATCATGGGTTGAAATGAGGTAGTCTAAAAGATGTTGGGATTAGAGTTGATTTACTATTTTTCTCATAATTTTTACCCTAGTTTTGCTTATTAGTTTCTTAAATATATATGTTTCCATGACTATTTTATTATTTTAGCTGTGTTTAGTTTTGCTTATTAGTTTCTTAAATATATATGTTTCCATGACTATTTTATTATTTTAGCTGTGTTTCTGAGTTATTTAGATTATTTAATGAATTTGGAAATTATGAGGGCAAAAAGGTAATTTTGACTCTTTAGGGATAAAATAGTCATTTGGGAATGGTCTGCCTGATCTTTGAAAATCGGGAAGTGATAGTTTGCAAATTAAAAAATAAAATAAAAACAATTTCGAAAAAGGGAAAGTAGAATAATGCACAATGTGTTATGTGCTCTCTTTTTTTCTTTTCTTTTTTTAAATTTTCGCACTCGGGCCATAAGTCCATTTCTGAATATTTGGGCCATTAGGCCCAAGCTTTAATCTCTTTGGGCCAAAAAAGACACAATTTGTCCAAAAAGACAACTATCTATTGAAATCAACCTATCTGTCTATTTGTTGAAACCAACCCATATGTCTATCTATTGAAATTCATCAAACTAATTATCTATTAAAATGTGACATATGTCACTCATTCAACAACTTATCTATTGAATATCACTCATTTTTCTACCTTACGACCACCACCTATTGCCGCCGGCCATTGGCCGCCAACAATTTTTTTATGCTAGTGACTTTTTTGGCGAATTTTCCGTTGCCAGCGAATTTTCCAGGTGACCTTTTCCGACATGCTCTTATCACCAAATAAGATTTTACTTTAGATCTAACGCCTTATACCCCTTTAGATGGACTTTTCACCAAATTTCTCTTCTTTTTTTTTAACCTCATGTAACAAATCAAACCATTTGTTTTTAATTTCTTCAATTTAAACCCCACACTTAAACTTTATAACGATGTTAATCTTCCATCCATTCTCGTTAAGTCATCTGACAGAGAAATTATTTTGTAATACACATGATGTTTTCTCACTTCTTGTTTCAAATTAATGTTAATACTAATTTTAAACTTGACCACATTAGATTAAAATTACCATTTATCAATTATCTACTGGGTCAAAACCATCAATTTTCAAGCCTAACATAGTCCTAACCACATTGACCAACCCTCAATTTGTCTACTTCCTAGGCCATTATCCCTACACCACCCGCCACCTACCTCCTTCCCCTACCCCTACCCCTACCCTACCACTACCACTACCTCCCCTTTCCCTTCCCTTGTTTGCTACTCTTTTCCCCCTCACCAGCACCTCCTTCCCCGCTATCCCCCAACACTGAAACCCACCTCCTCTATGTCAAACAAATAATCTCAAAACCCATCTACACTTCTATAAGAATGATCAAATAAACATGACCATATACCATCAAAATTTCAAAAAAAAAAAAAAAAAACTTAAAACAATCTGTGATTGCTATATTACTTTATATTAAGCCATGTGAAGATTTCAATTTCCAATGATCTACTACTACAAAGTAATATGGCAATCACATGATGGCCTTTATATATATATTATGTGCTTGTATATATATAGACATATAACTAAACTAACCAGCTTCAATAGCATTTAGAGCAGCCTGGCGATAATGTTCCACCACCTCCAGTATCTCAGAGATAGTCAAGCGTCGAGGGTTTGGGTACATGCCATGTTTTGCATCTGGCATGAGTATTCTCCACCTCTTTGATATAGGCTTGCTCGTAGATGATATGGGTGCAGCCCCACTCGGTTGATACACTGCTTGATCATTGGTGCAAAAGTTTAAAAATATATACATGGTCCTGTAGGTAGTTGAGATTGTAAATCTTAATGAAAGCAGTTGATTTGGGTATGATACCTTGATGTGAAGCTCGGCCAACATGCCACAATTGACAGAATATGATGGCCCCCTTGGCGTGGACAGCATCAACCACTTTCTTCCATGCCTCAACTTGTTGTTTGGTGTAAATCCCAGGGCAATGTGGAAACCTGGTGCATATATTCACCCAAAAAAAAAAAAAAAACCTAAAAACTGAGACTTGCGTACTGTAAGCAAGAGTTTTGTGTACTACATAGATTTTCTGTAAAGTAATTATGTATACAGTGACCATACAACACAGGTCATGACCTCAAACTAAAATTTATACATTTTATGTTACATGTTCAAACAAATATATCTCTATTTCAATCTGTTTATATTGCATTTCATTGATCTGCGCAATCTCATCTAAGATATTTTGTTTTTCTTCTTAAATAACTCTTCAATGAGACAGATCTCATGGTACTTCTTATAAGCTCGCTTTTTAATTGCTTTACATGGAGAGAAAAATCATACGCACAAATCATCTTTCTTGAGAGACTATGAGCAAAAAATTAGAATAAAATACTAAGAAAAGAATGGACACATGTCAATTAAACAGCCCAAATAGGTTCAATTTGGTTAAAAGAAAGAGAATGTTATTTGATTTACATATATAATCTGATCAAATTTTTCAATTTGAACATTGGACCTACAATAATTCATTCCTAATCTAGTGGTTTGATTTATATAATCTGATTGAATTTTAAATATGAAAACAAGAACTTCATGAATGATAATATGTGGAGCTCATGATAAAGTTGTCCCCTTGCTAACTCAGTGGGAATAAGTGTGACACATGCTGCTGGGGTAGATGCCGCAGAGCTGTCTATTGGTCAACTATTCATCTCTGTTAAGTGGAATATAAGATTGATCCCACTCCCACCCTACCTATCTGGTGGGCAACCACAAATGGTGCAACAAAATCATCCTTTCCTTGAAATTTTTTTGTTCCTCTCTTCTAAAAGTTCTCTTCCTCCAACTCCTGTTTACCATATGACTAGATTAGGAGAATCACTGTGCAATATAGTGGCATTGGTCTGGTTGGAGGATGCTATTAAAGTTATGGGTAAATTACAAATGCACCATCTGAGATTTGCTTAAAATACGAATTGTTTCTTGTGATTTGGAAAATTACAAATACCTTACTATTAGAATTTTTTATTTAACAAAATTAATTGAAAAAGTGAAATTTCTAACTATTCACCTATACAATAATAAAATTATCTGAATTATTAATAAAAATAAAATTTTAACATTATTAAAAACTGCTAATTAACTTGATGATTTATTAATAAAAGGACTTATTTGTTATAAAATTAGAAACCTTAGGGAGCATAATGTAATTTCTAAAACTACAGGAATAATTTGTAATTTAAGTAAATCTCGAGAGTGTTTGTAATTTTTCCTAAAGTTATTTATAATTTTTTTTTTAATCTTAAAAATTTGCATCTGTATTATGTTCAATATATTTGGCTTATAGTGTATGAGATTAAAACAATTTAAATAGGTTTACAAATTAATTATCCCAAAATTGAAGAAGACACATTTTTAATTTATGTTTTCTTTATAGTTTTCTAAATTACAAAATAAAAATTATACCCAACAGGCATAATTGGTAGGGATGGAAAATTTCACTAAATTCCAAATGATGGTGTTATGATAGTATGGCTGTTACCCATTATTTATTTATTTTTATCCGTTGTTAAATTAGCACATAAAAATTGAACTTGCAACATCACTTTGCCCTACTTACCCAATATTTGATCGATGATTTCTTTTTTTTTTCTCCAATAATGTTAAAATTATCATTTTCTTAAAAAGAATATAGACATTTATATTTATTATTATTTAAATAAAATATGTGACTCATATTTGTTAGTAACAAACAGAATATAATTAATTATTTTTTAACTAGTTCAAAAATATATATATATTTTTTAACATTATGTTGTGTTTTATGGTTTCATTTACCAACCACCTTGATTGATCCATGATAAGCCCAAAGTGGGGTCCAACGAAGCACTAGGTAAAGTAAAATGGGAGGGGACCAGGCATGTGATTGGACACAGATAGTAATAGACTAGCATCACTAGTCTTCTCTCCGACTTGTTTTAGAAAGTAAGACTCGTTTGGGAAATGACTAAATAGTTATTAAAAAATTAAAAAGTAATAATTCAGATCAAAAAGTTAAAAAAAAAAAATTTCTTTATTTTTTATACATATTTTCGTTAAAAAATTATCCTAAATATATTAATTTTTTTATATAACATTTTAGTTAAAAAATTATTAAAAAAATCTGTTCTCAAACGAGACCTAAATTAAAATTTAATTTTAGAATTTTTATTTAAAATATATATTTTAAAAAAAAAATGCCTTAGACCCCCAACTGGGGTGCTGGGGGTCTTCTCCTATTGGCCCAAAAAACTGTTTTTTTTTTTTTTTTTTTTTTGATTTTCAGCCATTACCAGCCCCACGTGGAGGTGGGGGTGCTGGGGTCTCTCCTGCTGGGGGTCTCCAGCACCGTAAAAAAAATTAGAGACTTACATGATTTTAAAAAATTACGGGTTTTTTTGATTTATATTTAAGAAACATGTTTTGAGATAAAAAATATGAAAATTTGTTTGGTTTAGTTTTTTTTCAAAAGTTGTTTTGAAAAATTATTTTGAGAGAGAATTTTGAAAAAAGTGATTGATTTGATGTGTATGAGAGAGAGATTTGTTTAGAAAACTTGTAAATCAAACAAGTTTTGAAAAAAAAAAATTTAAGAAAATTTGTTTACTTTGATAACTTTTAAAAACTTATTTGTAAAAAATTATTCCCAAAATTTTTTGAGAAAGACAAACCAAACAAGACCTAAAACATTATATAAAATTGTTTTTAAGCTCTTTGTGAAAAGGAAATAAACTCTGCCAGAAAGAGACCTTAAAGAAAGAAAGAGCCACCCCCTTTTGAAAAAGAAAAGAAAATACCCGGCGGCTGTGGGAGAGATCAAAGTCCCTTCAGTGATGAGAAATCCACCGGCTGTTGATCGCTGAACGTAATACTCAACTAGGGCTTCCCCTGGAATCTCATTCAGTGCTCTGCATCTAGTCATTGGTGCCAGCACCACCCTGATCCATCGCAAAAAAATAAAAATAAATAAATAAATAACAAACCCAATTCAATTCAATTCAATCCAATCCAATCAAACCAAACAAGAGTAAACATGCTCTTTTAAAATCCCTAACCTTTCCATATAATAAATTAGATCTAACAATTGCTCTATTTTAGTTTACAGTAGTAGTAGTAGTACTAGTAATAATAATAATAAGATAGAATGGAATGGTGACAGATAGTCATTCTTAGACTCCCTTGCTGAAATCTCTCCAATTTGTCCATGGAAATGGATGGTAAAGAAGACGAGAGACTCTCTAGCAGTAAGATCAGGGGTTGGAACAGCGGACAGAGAGAGAAACAGAGGAGGAGGAAGGAGGGAGGGAGAGAGGAGTGACCTGTGAGAGAGCTTGAACTTTCCCATCTTGAAAGGAGAGAAGAGACTTGCACTACCTTTATCCGACCTCGTCTCCGCCATTACAAGTGATCGGATGAATTCGCTTTAACCTCACAACAACTTCGGACAACAAGATTCAAACAACAATGCAAAGACTGACTGCTACATAATAATAGCACAAATACATTAATATACAGAGGATTGTAGGGGCTCGTTTGGCAACGAGCTAAAAAAAAGTCAATTTTTTTAGTTTTTTAACTTTTTTTTAGCAAAAAAATCATTTTTTTTTTTTTTTTTTTTTGCCAAGAAAGTCATCAGAAAAGCTAAAAAATCAAAAAATCAATTTTTTACTAACTTCTCAAAACACTCTAAGGTTGGTTTGGAAGGAGGTTGACTTTTTGACTTTTTAATTTTTGTAATTTGGGATTAAAAGATCTCGTTTATGAAAGTTTTTTTTTTATTATTTTTTTGTGAGAAAAAAAATATAATAATTATGAACTGAATGTGATATTTTATATTATTAAATTAAAAAATCTATTTTGTGCTTTTTTAACTAAAATAACCTCAAACTCTACTCAACCCATTTTTCTAAACGAAGGCCTAGTATACTCTTCATTATGCTATTTTTTTTAATTAAGATTAATTTTTTTAATTATGATATTATTTTGAAATATTTTTAATTAGTTATGATTTAAAAACTATAGAAGTATGTTATTTTTATTTTTATTTCTATTTTTTTTTTTTTGTAATTATAGGTCATGTTTGATTCACAAGATTAATAGTGAAAGTATTAATAATTTCATCAAATTAGTGTGGTATTCACTGTTCAATTGGATTAGTAGAATAAATTATCTCCTTATCCATTGTTTGATTTGTATTGAATAAGAAAATATATAAATATAGTATTACAAGTATATTTATCTTCTTTTCCAATCCTACCATCCATCAATGTTTCTTCACAATTTTTACTTTATCAAAATTTCTTCATAAACATGGTTTTGAAAAAATATCATAAATAAATAAATAAAAGCAAAATAAAAATACAAAATACAAAAGCTATGTTTGGTTTGTTTTTTAATTTTTTTTTTAAATATAAACTAATTTGAAAAAATAAATATCAAAAAAAAATTAATTTTTAAAAATTATTTTTAATCTTCTAAAATATAAAATCATATAAAAATAATAAACATTTTAATTTTTAGTCAAGGGTAAAAGAGTCTTTTTATTTTATTTCCTAGCACAAGATATATAATCTTACTCCTACCCCATTACTAATAATCTCTTGTTAAATTAATTATCAATTAAATTAATAATTTTAAAACAAAACTTTAAAACAAATACAAAATTATTAGACCTACTAATTAATAATTTCAACCTCATACGCACCTATACAGATAGTGTATCATAATCTTTCCATATATATACATAATCTTTCCATGTATATAGAGAGAGTCCAAATGCATAATCTAAGTTCACGAGCTAATTTGTGAACTTTCTAGTTATTTTAAGTTGGTTAAAAGAAATTATGTTTTGAATAAATTTTGGTCCTTTTTATAATTGATTGGATAGTTATAAGAGAAAAAAGTAAAATAATTATAGTTTAAATGTGACATTTTATTTTATTGACTAAATTAAGAGCAATGATAGAGAACCCCTTTGTAGAGGACCCCCACAACCCCCTTTGTGATCCATATCATTCATGATGTGGACCCCACACATATATGAGTGGGCCCCACACATCATGAATGGTATAGATCAGTAAGGGGGTTGTGGAGGTCTTCCACAAAGGGAGTCTGACTCATTTTTCTATTACAAATTGATAAATTTTATTAAAAATATACTCTCAAATGACTTTTTTATTGATAAATTTCATTTAGAGGTATTCTAACACAATAAGTCCATTTGAAACTCTCTGTTTGATAGGGTTTTAAAGCTCTGGTTTACACATGGTGACGAGAGAATATTGTATGCCTCCATTATTGTAGTGAAGTTTTGTATTCTTCCATTGTTACTTTGTGTTTAAAGCTTTGTATTCGTTCATTTTCACTCTGTATTCGAATCTCTATGTTTTTCCATTGTTGCAAGTCGAAACTCCATTTCTATCCAGACGATTTTGTTGCTAACCTATTCTTCAAAGATGGATTTGGTTTGATTTGGATCAGTGGAATGGTAAAATTGCGTACGTTGTTAATGATAGTGATGAAGATGAAGATGTAGGTGATAATTTTTTTGTTTTTAGAGAGATTAAGGTAACATTTGGTAAAGTTTTCTAAATATGATTTGAGAATAGGAGTTGTATTTTGAGTTTGTAAGTTTTGGAATTATGATTTGAGTGTAGAAAATTTGTTTAGTGAAAGAGTTTTGAAAAGAATGGAGAATTTTTTATGTGACATATGATATCTAGTATAAAAACTTACAACTCGTAACCAAACACACAACTCAAAATTCTATTAAAAGCTCTTAAAAAATTTTAAACATTTTCAAAAATATTGTTTTATTAAAAATATATATTTAAAAAAAAGTGCCAATTGCAAGCAAAAAAAAAAAATCACACTGTTCAAGTAAACCGACTAGACATCCAGAGGGACGATCGGTAGGCCAAATTTCAAAATTTAAAAGCCCGCTTGGAACGAGTTTTCAAAAGGAAGTGTGGAATTAATTTTCCAAAACTCAAACGAAACATCATACTAGAATGTAGGGATAGAACTATGATTCCAAAACCCTTCCAAACACAACCAGAGGTTTTTTTTTTTTTTATTTCTAGTTCTATTGCTGCCATTGTTTCTGATTTTTTGTCAATCAATGTGAATGTTCACATTTCATATTGTTTGGAAGTTTGAGAAATTGGTGATGGAATTGTGAGGAGTGAAATCTCTGGTACAATAATGGGGCTTCCTTTGTAAAAAAATAAGGTGGATTTGGTTTGATTTGGGTTGGTATAATGGTGGAATTGTAGGAGGTGTTAATAATAGTGATAATAATGAAGATGAAAACCAAGATTATGAAGATACAGAGGAAGATAAGGGTGATGATTTTTTATTTTTTGAGAGAATGAGATTTTTAAATTTCTAATTCTATTGTTGTCATTGATTTTGATTTTTTGTTATTGGATTTCAATGTAGCAATGATTTTTTGAGATTGGTAATGTATCTGATATAAAAATGATATAAATGTTCATATCATTAATCAATGTTAATATTCACATTAATTTGAAATGAAAATTTGTCATTGTATTGTTAATTGGTGTTAATATTATTGACACACCCATATAATATTGAATGATGAATATGTTTTCACTGTGTTCATTACCACTATGACAAGGTGATGTTAAAGTTCACATTAGCATTACATCAATTTACACAACCACAAGCCTCAACTTTCATTTTGAATGCAAACATGATGTAAATGTTCACATTAAAACATACGAATATGAAGGTTCACATGAATTCTGGAATATAGATAAAGACACGACGGTGTTGAAGTGTTAATTACCAATATGGAATGATGATATTAAAGTTCACATCAAAATTGCATTATCCACAAATCACATTAAGTCAATGATTATGTGTACACAATTGTAAAGCAACTAACAACAATGTGAAAGTTCACATTGATTTTTTAATATCTAAAAATATGACTACATCAACATTGCATCAACCACAAACCATCATTTTTGTGTGTATACAAACATGAAGTGTACGTTTATACATAATCAGATTATTGATGCAAATGCTAACATCACAAATAAAATATTAAATAAATTAATTTAGTCACATTAAGCCAATGATTATGTGTACATAATTATAAAACAACATAAACCTCTATATGAATATTAACATCGACTTTGTAATAGCAAATATTATGACAACATACCATTGTATCTTATTAAGTACAATCAAAATAACTATTCTAATATTTATAATATCGCAAAGGATGTGAGATTCATATTCATCTTTTTCTCGCCGATATAAAATGTAGTTTTAGATGCCTTGTACGTCTCTAACACGCATACGATGACATCATTGAACTTCATGCATTTGTCGACGTCAACTTTATCGATCCTTAACACATCAAACAACTGCCAAAATGATGTTTCTTTCAAACAATCCAGTTGAAGATCCAAGAACTTGGTACTCGCCATCAGTTTTACTAACCCAATGATGTTAGATTGGTAGTTGATCTTGGAGAGCTGGCCATTTGTTCAAGTTCGTCTTTGACGTGAAATTTTTATCTTTTTCTTTTGCCATGAAATCTATAAGCAACATCTGTTTGTTCAATTGCAAAACAAATTTACTATTAATGGTAAAAAATGGTAAATGATAACAAGTGCGAACTGCATGTCATGTGAATAGTTAAATGATTATGGTGAATGTGGATGTGAAAAGTCGATGTAAATGTTCACATGAGGACATTACAAACTATGAATAAATAACAAGTTAAGTACATGGTGTGGAACATTCACATAATATATGTCTAATGTGAATGTTCACAACAACATTATAATTTGATTCACATTGAACCAAATAGAGAGGGGGACAATAATTGGGGGTTCTAATTGTTTCTTTCCAAATGCACATTGAACCAAAAAGATAGAGGGCAATATGATTGTTCACATGAACACATTATAGCACATGATAAAACAACAATGGACAAAGTTAGATACATGGTGTGAATGATCACATGGGTTGTTACTCAACAACAATGATAACCAGATTATGTAAATATTTACATCGTTTTGTGCAGGAATTCACATTGAACTAAAAGATGGGGGGTTCTGATTATTGATCACTATAAACAATTAACAAGACTAACAAGTCCAACATTGACAGAATGGAAGAAATATGGAACTTATTACAAAACAATAGCACATGACGACAAAAAATCAACAATAATAACCAAATCATGTAAATGTTTACATCAGTTTGGTACTTGATGTGAATGTTCACATCGGTGGTTACTCATCATCTGTGTAGGAATTTACATTGAACCAAAAGATAGGGCAAAGTAATCAGAAATTGAGGGTTCTAATTATTTGATCACTATCAACAATCAATAAGACCAACAAGTCCAACATTGATAGAATGAGGAGAAATAGGGAGCTTATTACAAAATAATAGCATATGACAACAAAAACCAACAATAATAACAAATCATGTAAATGTTTA